TGATAGATCCTGATATAAATAATGCCAAAAAAAGAAAATTCTTGATTTACAATTTATAATACTTCAAGTTATATTCAGTTATTTGGTAGTCTAGCAAATATGATAGCAGACAGATACTAATATTATCTATTATATAACTTTGAAAACTTTTAAAACATTAGTTAATAAATTTAGTATTTTATAAAATTTATTTCTTTATTTATCACTATATATATAATAACAATTAAACTATTTTATGATATAGACTATGATCTATTGTATAAGTATGAAATAATGCCCATGAGCATTATTTTAAAGATCAAAATATCTTGCATAGTTTTGAATTAGTATCCATAAATATCTCAAATTAATAATATATTAGATTCAGTAAATCAGCCTTATTACATAAACGGTTAATTAATTAATATGTAGATAGGTGTTATTTCATGCTTATATGATAATATGTTTATTGATTAAATCATTCGAATCACAGATAACCCAAGAAAAAAAATTTTAAACCAAGTTATTTCCTGTAATATTTGTAATTAGAGATAGTGCTTGACTTAAATCATAAAAATTTATACCTCTCGTTACTAGAATACGTACACATAATGCACATTTCAAAAAAGTTTATAAATGTAGAATATATTAGAAAAAAGATGTACTTAATGTGTAATCATACTTATTTTAAATTTGTAACATGAAATTATTTACAAGATTTACATATTTTTTTTGATGATACTCAGATAAAAAGTCTAAAAAAGAGCTACAAAAAAGATAATATTTTCTTGGTATTACTCAATTAAAAGATAAATAAATAAAATAATTAATAAATATAAAATAAAAATAAAATCAATTATATATTTGTAATTCATGAAACCCTTTATTTAAATATAAATTGCAAATCAATTAAATTAAAGATTTCAAAAAAAAAAAAATAGATATTGAAAATGATGAAAATGCTAAATATTATAATCAGGATGATGAATTAGATGATCAATTAACCCAGACATCCGATGGAAATACATCTACTAATTCATACAAAAATACAGGAAAACTATCACCTTTGTGGCAACATTTTAGCTTCGACTCTAACCATCCTGATATTTTTATTTATGATAAATGTAGTCAAAAGTTTTTATCTAAGAGTGGTAATTCTAGTTTAGAGAGGCATTTAAGTAGTCAATATAATATTATCATTTCAAAGATTAAATGCTATCAAACAAAATTACCATTTGTTCATAATAATTCATAGCCTGAGGTACAAAAAAAAGAATGTAATCTAGCTTTAATCACTTGGATTATTGTAGATCAACAATCATTTTGTGTCATTGAAAACAAAAAATTTTTTGAATTAATAAATATACTTAACTCACGCTACAAAATCTCTGAACATCATCAGGTTAAAAATATGATTATTAGCTACTTTAATAAGCAAAAGACACAAATAACTAATATTTTGTAGCAAATTCTAGAAAAAGTTTCTTAACTTCAGATATGTAGACATCAACTATTAATAATGATACTTTTCTTAATATCACAATTTATTATATAGATCAGCAATGGGTGTTTCATCGATTTCTGTTGGATATTGTTCCCTTTACTACACATCATACAGGTAGGGTTATAAAATCATATATTTTTGTGAAATAATATCATAAAAAGACTTTTATATGATTGGCTATTTAAATCAATTTAATTTTACATTATTTATATAGTTTAAAGTACTTTTTAAAAAAATAAACCTAACTCACATAGGCGCAGAGAGTTTAAATAGGTAACCCCCTAGTCGGGTTGCAGGTATGACATCTAGTGTAGAACT